AAGGTAGCATCACTTCTAAAGAGTATGTTTCTGTCTGAGAATTTATGTAATTCCAAATGAATCAGTTTTATTATCACCTGAGGAACTGTTGGAGCAAGTAGTCCTTAGAAGTGGGCCCAATAAAAAGAGTGCACTCATAAACTTTTCCAGTCCTATGGCCCAGCTCTGCTGTCTGTATCACATGTGATCAATAGATCTCATCAGACCATGCTCTAAATTGCTCCCTTCTGCACCAAAATAGGTAAATCATACATATTTGCAAATCTTATGTGAAGACATTTGTCTTTTCATAAATGCTGTAGTGATTTGCACAGCCTGTTTACTGAACATATTTAAAACACAATAAGCTACAATACTCTGCTTAATGACCAAGTTCCATTTGTACAACTAGGTAATTAAATGAACTGATTGCTAAAGGAAGAATTTTGTATAGTATGAATATTATAAGAATCACAACAAAGAAATAGCCAAAGGATAAATTCCAATTTGATGACCTTTCTTTTATTTGCCTTACCTCTTACATACAGTACTGTAATGTATATAAAAACATAAATGTACTGTATAGTACTGTACAGTACAGTAGGTAGGGTATAAACAAGTGTACTGTAAAAAAAGACATTGAGGCACTATCAAAAAAGTTGTGCAGCACTGTATCAAAGACGATTGTAAATCGAAGGGGTGCTCATAAGTCCAAACAGCAGGCCTCAGTCATAAGTCTGAACAATTGTTAAACAGGTAGGTCATTAAACGAGGAATATCTGTTTCTTGCTGGTGAGGGAAAGATTGTAAATTTTATCACAGTCTGTTTTCAACAAAAAGAATACCTTTTTTTCAAAATATAGGGAGGTAGGATGTTCAGAGCACTTTGAAAAGCCATCTGAACCTGGTAAACAAAAATGAAACAGCTGTGCTGGGGTTGTTTTAATGAATTAAAACAGCAGCACCACGCCTTGCTTGGCAAGCACAAGGTCATGCGTTCGATTCCCAGTACCAAACAAAAGCAAACAAACAAAAAATAAAAAAAATACCCAAAATGAAACAACTCGTTTCTCAAAAAAATTGTAACAAACATGTCAAAAAAAACTTCACATTGCAATCATATACTTCATACCTTCAGTCAGTTACAAAATAGGCATAAGTATTGAATTTTCCTCCCATGTCAATGAGCCATATGTAGAATCTTTGCATGTTTGCATAAAAGGTGTCTTGAAACCATCAAGAGCTGGTAGCTAAAGCCAAGGGGAAAAGTATAAATAAAGAGGTAACAAATAAGTCAAAAGCACAATTATCGTAAGTTGTTTAACATGCCAACAAAAGGTTGCATGCTACAGCTATCGTTGGACCATATGCTATCCAATAAAAAAGCAATTAATTTTATGATGAATCCTTTGTGACATTAATGAGTGTTACTTTCAAAATATCATGGGAAGAAAATACATTTAACTTTGTATATTTTGATTTTTAAAATTTTCTCATAATCTACAAATTAACTGTACAATAAATATATGCTGATAGTTAAAATCAATATGTGAAAATATAAGAGGAAAGTTAGCATCATTTCACTAACTCCATCCATTTCCCCCATCATGAAGTAAAAAGTGTTAGCAGCCTAATACATATAATTTTCCAATCGTAACTCATTTTTATGAAATGCATATATTAGCACTACCTTTTCTTTCATATTGGGGATTGCTTACAGGGACTTTACACTGAGTCTCAATCTCCAGCCATTTTTTATTTTTATTTTGTTATTCTCATAATTCTGACATCTACAGTCTTCATATATTTATAGACAAATTATATTCTCTTATTTAAAATTATGTCTTTGCAATCATTCAACCCATTAACCCATGTTATTTTTGAGAGCCTGGATTTTCTTTTTAAGATATTTTTCTTACTGTTAATGAAACTACTGTAGTAATTCTTTTTTTTCTTATATAATACTTTGAATGATTTTAGTTCTTTTACATTGTTAAGGTTTATTTGATGACCTAGAACATGTTTCATATGTTCCTGAAAGAAACTGTGGCTGTTATTAGTTATTGGACTTTTCTATCAATATAAATGATGTCAATCTATTGATAAATGATATTGTTGTTCTCCTACAGCTTTAGTGTTCACCTATCTACTTATAATCCTTCTTGGTGAAGGGGTGTTAAAATCTCCAGATGAAATTAAGGGCTTACTTCTTCCTCCCTTTGCTTTCTTTAGATAGTCTTCCACTCAGGTATTTTGAGACTTGTTTTAGAAACATTACATATTCAGAGACATTGTGTCACTTAATCAGTTCTTCATCATTATGTAAGGTTTCATTTCATCCTGGTCACTTTCCTTATTCTGAAGTCAGATTTATTATTTATATGTTCAGTCTGGCTTTCTGTTCATTAGTGCTTTTGTGACACATTGTTCCAGCTTTTTTTTACTTCTGCTTAGTATGTCTTTTTTGCAAAAACATTTTTGCTTGAGGAAAACTTTCTTTGCCTTTCTTTAATCCAATCTTACATTTACTGCACTTTACCTTATATATTCAGGTCATTTACATTTAATTTAAGTATTAAAATTGTTTAATTGCAATCTACTTTCTGTTGATTTATATATTTTTTAGCCCTACCATTTTCCTCTCTTACAATGCCTTGTTCTGGAACACGTACATTCTATGCTTGTCTGTGCTTGAGTTTATTGATATTTTAAAAGTGTCTTAATGGTTACCCTAGGATTTAAAAAAATTATAAGATTAATTTGTTACACCTGACCTTTAAATATTTTGCTGTGTATGTATATAGATCAGATGTAGACACATATAGATGATATAGATATAGATAAAGATATAGATATAGATAGATATGGATAGAGACAGAGCCAGAGATAGAGATAAGAGATAGAGATAGATAGAGATAGAGATAAAGAGATAGAGATTAGATATAGACATAGATAGGTATAGATATAGACATATAGACAGACATAGAGATGTACAAGTCCTAAATTCTCCGTTCTGTGTTCTTCTTCACAAGTGTTTTGCTTTTGCATAACAGTAAATAAATTACAGATAATTTTGGATCAGACTTTAAATTACTTTCAGGCCTTTTGAAATAGAAGTTTAAATTTATATCTTCAACAATACTATTTGTAGCATGTGTCAGTATTTTCCGACAGAGCAAAGTTTCTGCCTTTCTGACAGAGCAAAGTTTCTATCCTTTTCTGGATAGAACATGTATTCTATCCAGAAGCCCACTTTTTAAACATTTTTATAACTCAACTTTGCTTTTTTCTCTAAAAAGGATATCTCTTCTTTCTTTGAAAAATAATTTTGGACTGAAAGCTTTATTTGCCTTCGAGCATGGAATTTTTGTCACTCTTCCATTCTGACTTATATAGTTTCAGCTCTGCTATGTGTTAACCCTTCCTCCTCTAGAAGAATACCAATTTTACTTCTTGGTGCATAATTTTTTTTATTCCCATTACTGGTTTTGATTAATTTGACTATAATGTGTGCAGTTTCTGTTTATGTATTTGTGTTTTCAGTTGATTCATTATCCTCTTTGATGTCCTCTAACATTTTTATCTGTAGTTTTATACATTTCATTACTTTTGGAGATTTCCAATTAATCTATTAAATATTTTCCTTCCCCAGTTCCATTCTCTCTTCTCTTTATGTAATTTCATTTTGTTCAACTATTTGGTAATTTTCCATGCCTTTCCATGAGAATTTTCTTGAATTTTTTTCTGCTGCTTCTTTCTCCTTCTCCACAATCTTACCTCTCTGCTAGAGGTAGGAATTCTGTAATGGTCTACAATCAGGATATTCCCTTCAATCTTTCTCAGAGACAATACTCTCTAAAATGCTTTTCATTCTCACTGGAAGAGCAGATCCTTACCGTTTTTCACAGTGGCACAATATTTTGGTGTTTGCTAGGAATTCTCAGTTCTGTTCCATGAATCGTACAGAGAAAGTAGATGTTCCCTTCTCACAGTGACTTCTGCTTCTCTAATGGTTTCCTTGGTTCTTTTTTCCTTTCTTGTCGTTCTAGTGAGCTCTCCCTGAGTCTTGTGGGAAGATGGTAGTTAATGTGGATGGTTTCCCCTTCTTTTGTGTTTTTTTTTTTTTGTTTCCTGTGGCAGAACCCTATACTCAGCATTCAGCAATTTGTTAAGAAATTCGAGTTAATATTAGCTTATATGGAGTGGGTGTTTGTAGTGGATAAGGAAGGACTTACATCCCTTGGCTTCTTGTGGGTACATGTCTTTTTATAGATACTGGGTTATTTTATAATTGTTCAAAACATGGATATTCCATCTGATGCTATTTGTATATTGAGCTCTGTGTTGTCCGTGACTTATGCAGAATTACCCATGTTGGGTACTGAGGCTTTAATACAAACCCAGTTTGTCATTTCCTTGCAGCTGCCTGTACCCAGCACACCTTACTGCCTCCCATTTTATAACTTATTTGTGATTGTGACAATTGAGTATAATACAGAATAATTTATAATACTTGAAACCTATTCTTTCTCTGGTCAATATGCTTATATGAAATATCACAACCATCACAGTTCTACAAAGACACAGGATATTATTGAAGTTATTAGTTATTATATACTAATTATGCTTTGTGAAGGTGGCATCATTATTTGAATTTATTGTTATTGAATGATAACATGAAGTAAAATATGTAATAATAATGATCTTATGAGAGATTTATCAAGATATACCATTTATTCAAAAAAAGCTTAAACAACAAAATGTAAATGATACATGATTATAACAGAAATTGCCATTAGAAGAATTACTAATTAGTACCTGAATGCCTTCTAGCTAATTTGTCCTCATAAATATCTCAAAAAGTAACTATTGCTATATGCACTTTATTTTGAAACAAATTACTCAAGATGCATTTAAACCCAGTAGGAAGCCTATACTAACTACATCTATCTTGCTTTACTTTGCTTTCTGATGACAACATCTTTCATATTTAGCTAATCATGTTCTTTCTTTGCCTTTAGGATTTGACACAAGCATTTTACCAATTTGCAAGGATTCACTTGGTTGGATGTTTAACAGACTTGATACAAACTATGACCTACTGCTGGACCAGTCGGAGCTTGGGAGCATTTACCTTGATAAGAATGAACAATGTACCAAGGCATTCTTCAATTCTTGTGACACATACAAGGACAGTTTGATATCAAACAATGAGTGGTGCTACTGTTTCCAAAGACAGCAAGGTAAAATATGAAATATAGGTGCAAATAGTTGACCTGGATTTCAAATCTTATCTATTCATTTATGATAAAAGAAGAAGAGGATGCTATGTCTCACTCTTGTTGGGAAATTTTTTCTAACCTGACTGCTTAATAAGAAAGCAAATAAGAAACCTGTTGAAGAAAAAACTCTGATAAAAGATGCAAACTTGCTAAAGAAAATGAAAATAGTGGTTAATATTTTACATTAGTGTACTCCATTATCGTTTCCATTATGAACCACCGTGAAGCACATAGATATGAGAACATAGATATTAAAAGTAATCATTAAAATTAATTTGCTATCTGCTTTGCCTGTAGTGTAAAATAAATGGGATTTTTATCACTTTACTGTGGAGTTTTAATGTTCTATTTTGTGATCTTATTAAATGAGCTGAATGAACCACAGCATTCACCATAAAGTTATTTTTACTTTATTTTAAAATGACTTAGTCTTTCAACCTTTTCAAATAGCTTAGAAAAGATTCATTGGCAAAGAAAGTGTGAAATACAACGAAGTTTTCATGAAGGATGTTGAGTATGTTTGGAACATACATAATTTAAAATATACATATTATGAGAGTTATTCCCTATATAACCTAATCTTATCTTTATTTTATTTATTGTTGCTTAGTGTTATTTATTGTTACGTGTCTGCAAGATATTTTTCAATACTCTGAAAGAAGTGAGGGAATAAGAGGTGGAATCGTGGATTTTTGTATAACTCTTTCTAAATTAGGTAATGTAAACATATGCACAATAAGAATTAACTGAATTATAATTTATATTTAAAATATGAAGGGTGGACTGGGGATATAGTTTAGTAGCACAAATGCCTGCCTGGAGAGCACAAGGTCCTGAGTTCGATTCCCAGTACCCCCCC